TGAACAAGGCAATTGACATACCGTATTCGACGTAATAAGCGCCTAGGGCGCTCTCAAAATTAGAAATAGGGGGCTCTTATTAGAATATTATTTTGAGTTGAAAGATCGTAAATTTCATGGTTTGTGCTGACAGCCTGAAATGTTTATACACGACAGATATATTTTTCCAGGATTTAATTGCCCATAATTAAGGGTGCATATAACATACGAGTGCGTATTATACACAAATGAATACGTCTTGTGTACATTAATCAATTGGAAGAGGTGCTAATTGAGATTGTTCACTAGCCAATATATTAGCAAATATCGCTGTGGGCGCTTATTAGAGCAGGGCGCTTATTACGTCAAATACGGTAAGCCAACAGGAGGAGGTGAGAATAGCATCAGTTGTGGAAGGTGTGCTGCTTATGATGATGGCGTACTCCTGCATCCAACACATCATCCCAGTAACCACCCCTCTGCATAACTTGTTACTCATAATGTAAACAGACCAGGGCACTTACTCCATCAGTTGTATCTTGATGTATCCTAGTCCTTGTAACTAAGCATTATGTACGTGTCAGGGTAGCAACAGGTACTACAAGCAGGGTTTCCCTATAGGTTTCACGTGGGAAACCTGTTTATGGGCTGTACCATACATGGATGTATTTTCAAACAAATCAAGCTCAAATTTAGTTGTTTTTTTAAGGAATGTGAAAAGTAGCTGTTTTTAGAATCATAGACTTTTTTACTTTTAATATCTGAATACAGCGGTATTATGAACAAAATCACTTTAAATCTCCTTTCTAATTTTCACGCAAACATTAACTTTGAAAGTGAGAAATATCATACAAAAAATTCAAAACTTTTTTTCAAACTTGATATCAGATTCAAACAGGTTACATTCCTGTCAGACTTGTCCTTCAAGGTTTGAAACGATATTGTACATGTTCAGGGCCCAGCACAGTTGATGACTATGACAAGAACTGTATAGTGTATACTACATGTATAAGCAATCAGCTGGTATTGGGCAATGTCGGTCAATATTGATTCTCAGCTCGGCAGGCAGTACAGATTTATAGCCGTGTGAGCTTATTTACTTCCATTTTGAATAAATCCCAAGCTTAAAAAATAACACAAGTCTTTCCTGCTGAACAAGTTTTAGAGGCCATCAACAGTCCATGAAAGTTAGGAAATTCCTCATGTCATGTACCGTATTTAACGTAATAAGCGCCCTGCTCTAATAAGCGTCCACAGCGATATTTGCTAATATGTTGGCAAGTGCACAATCCCAATTAGCACCCCTTCCGATTGATCAATGTACACAATACTTAAATTTATTTGTGTATATTATGATACACACTCGTGTGTTGTATGCACCTTAACTATGGGCAATTAAATTCTGGGAAAATATATCTGTCGTATATAAACATTTCAGGCCTTAAGCATAAACCACGAAATTAAGGATCTTCTCTGGGTTTTTTTCACCAAAATAATATTCTAATAAGAGCTTCCTATTTCTAATTTTGAGAGCGCCCTGAGCGCTTATTATGTAGAATACGACAGTTCAATTTGATTTCAGTGCATGCTTTACTGTGTTTTAAGGGGTATTTGTTTTAAGAAGGATAATTAAGTTTGAAGGAGCATTTTTGTGAGGAAGATATTATATTGTCTCACAAGACAAAGTTACTAGATATGATGTAACACTTGGAGCATTATGTAAAGTAGGTCTAGTAGTATATATTCTCATGGAGACAAATTAACATTTAAGCATTAAAGGAGATCTTTGAGCATAAATGAAATACTTCAAGCAATCTATGTTCCCATACTGTTAACCCATGCTTGTTGTATGAGGCAAATTACAGGATTGGGTGGTCTGACTTCGTTGATGCATGTCATTGTATCTCAACTGCACAGATTGATGCTCATGGTGTCAATCACTGGATTGTCTGGTCCAGACTCAATTATTTACGGATCATCATCATACAGGTTGAATATTGCAGAGCGTGGCGTTTAACAAAAAACAACAACAAAGAATCTCTTAGGGGATGTCAGGTAGCAAGTCGCAAGTATGCAATACTTGAGAAAGAATTTGATGTCATGGTCACGAACAATGGCTGTTTTGTATGAGAAGCTCTTGGAACATCTAGGAAGGGCCAGTACCAGCTGTGACAAGCTACCTTAGAACTGTGACCTTCGTGACTCTCATATTTTGACGTTGACTTATGACAACTCTGAGATTAGTTTGTGAAATAGGATGCTGGCTGATTGTGGATCATCATACCGAAGTGGCACAGAGAATTGCATTTTGATCACTGGTTTGTCTAGTCCAAGATTACACTGCATGACGATATGGATGTAAAACTGCTGATTAAACTTTAAACCTCCCTCCCTCCCTCACTCACTCACTCACTCCCTCACTCATTTATGCACTTATGTACTCAGTATATGAATGACGCTCCTGAAATATCAAAACATTTAAAAAACTGTCATCTCACCTGCTCACAGATTCTACAATATATGAGAAATGATTCTCTCCCTTTAGATGTATGACCTCATCACCACCCCTGTTAAGTGGCAGATGCTGTGTAGGCAGTGGGCTCACAATTGTGTTGTGTCGTGGGTAGTCTGTACAATGTCAAGATGACTTGAAACTTCAGCAGCATATCATCAGCAGGGTTCCCTCAGTGTAAACAGTCACACAAAACAGTTTGAGGGGCATGGAACTTTACAAATAGAACATTTACTTACACTAGACTTCCTTTGTGAAGAGTTTTGAATGATTACATGGCTGTATTGAATTGTCCAATAGTATGACCATACTCAACATTATTTCGATGTATACGGGATAACAAGTGGGGCTTGGGTCCTCAACATTTGCTGCTATCATATTTGACTCCTAAACATTTTGACCTTTTAACAAAATGGTATATATAAAAACAACAACTTCACTTCTATATTCAATGTAACTGGAGGTATTTTATACAGATGGCCTTGTCAGACCACCGGTCAGACCGCCACTCAGACCGCCACTGTCTTGCAAGGTTCCAGTCTGCAGCTTAAGCTCTAGCCTGAAGTCTGAACTTATATAAGTAAAACTCTGTTTGGTCTGGTAAGTTCAGATAACAATTGTCCATTCAATGTTTCACAGATACTTATCAAAGCATTGACATCTTATGGAAAACTTAACCCTTGACCAAAGCTTTGAGTATATTCTAAAGAAACATGTTAGACAACTAGAATCCTTCGAGAGCAAATATTGGCAGACATGTTATGAAAACATCCAAGTTTGATTCTTGAAGCTGCCGAGATGTAGCAAGACATCATTTGTTAATCGTGGACCAGAACCAAGGGATTCTTGACGACATAATGACACTTTGGACCTCTTGCCGACCAAAGACAGAAGAGGATGGTGTTTGTGATATAGTACTTTTGTTGACACAAGTTGTTCACAAGACCATGATATTATTACCTACAGTTCATATGTTTCAGTGATTGTTCCTGAATATGGAAACGTGCATGCAATAACACTGATAATTTTTCTTCAAATTTTGGGATGAATGTTTTTTGTAGAACATGTCACTAAGTCCAGTAGTTGCTGAGCATACGCAAGTTTCTGTGCAGAGTGATTTAACTGAAATATGGCTCAAAGCTGTGTTAAACTCACTCACTCACTCACTCACTCCAAGATGCAGTTGTCGATGTAAACCTCACGACATTGTTTCCAGGGCAAACAAGCTAACACAGATCATTTACTTTGTAAACTTGAATGATGGCAAGGACACAACCATCGCCTGGGATGTTTCCAAGATTCCTCTCATTAGTTACACATTTGTTACACTCACTTGCTACAAGTGAAGAAGGACTTGAACGTGGTGGAAAGTGTAAAAATAACGGAATAAAAGTGGTCTATAGTATATGCACCTGAATATGTATATTCCAACATATGTGAACTTTGACTCCAAGGCAATATTTAGTGGTCATATAAAAATGTTTCTGTTGTCAAAACAAATCTTGTGCAGAGTTGCTTCAAATTCTGTTAGTCATGCTCATCGGGGGTTTAAATCCATGATATGTCCTGGTTATGATTTTTGGTTTGTCAGAACCATACCTGTGTTCTCTGTTTTTTTCCGTGTGAATGATTGGCTTGCCTTTGCATGTGTTTGTGATGGTAATATTTGCAGTATTGATCTGAACTACGATTTTCTCTCAGATACAGATCATTCCATTGAACTCTGCAAGATATTAGACAGATAAGATTGCAGGCATTCAGCCTTAACCTATGATGTTATAGACTGGCACAACTAGTATGTGTTCTTTAGGAGTTGGGGGCATGGGTTCCGCAGATGGCACAGGTCGTCCAGTCATCTAAAGCACTGAAACTTGCAGTGCAGAGTTGCATTCCATTTAAACCCTATGATCTCGGTTCAAAACCCGGTTCACCCTGGTTATGTTTCTAGGTTTGGCAGTACCATTTCCCATGCTTCACCATCCCTTTGGCATGCCAAAAACCTATGATTGTGGGTTCCAATCCTGGTTTGTCCCAGTTATGTTTCTAGGTTTGTCAGCACCATACCATGCTCGTTGGTTTCACCAAAGTGGAAAACGTCTGAGACCCTCATCACTTCAGGCTTTCCTTCCACATCCAGCTGACAAGCCGTGATATAACTGGAATACTGTTCAAGCAGCATTAAACCCAACTCACTCACGCACTCACTTTCCATGGTGATAAACATCTTGCATCATTTCCGGCTTATCTACCACGTGTGATCTAACAAATACTGTTCAAAATAGCATTAAACTCACTCACTATTCATGGGAGGTAACTTTCCAAACTGCATGTGATCTTGTTGTGTGTAGCCTGGTTGTGACCTCTGCCTTCCCATCACTTACTCTTTCAGTATCCTTGATTCATCTTGGCCAAAATGCTGTGGATTATTATTTTACGTTCATTTATCGGAATGTTCGAAGTTACTCACTGCGATGGAGCAACTGTTGACTGATTGTGTTTGTTTTTGCAGGAGACAATGCCCACCTATCGAAGGACCAAATACCCCTGGCGGATGCCGAGGACCCGGAATCTCCGTTTGCCAATCATATGGCACTGTATGAGGTGAGTGATCAACCATCATCTTGTCACTCACTACCAGGTACAGAATTGTGCCACTTTGTTGTGTCACTGTCCTCTGGTCACGGGTTCCAATCCAAGACTCTCCCAGAGAGACTGAATACGATCCCTGGATTGTCACATACCTGTTCTTGTTGGTTTTGCTGAAGTGACAAAACATCTGCGTCACTGTCACAGGCTGTGATATTCTGGCAACTGAAGTACTGAGTAAATCAGAATTAAACCATACTCACTCACTCACTCATTCGCTTCCTCATTGGAAAGCTGAGTTTATCATCTTACAGCCAAATTACCTTGGATGCTGGAGAAGAAGTTGCTTCCAAGCATTCCAGACTGTTTTGTTGAATTATGTATAAAACAAGGAGACTTTACAGAGTGACTTAATGAATAGGGATGTAAACCTACACTGCAATTATTGATTTAACACCTCAAATTTAACTTCAGACAATACGCATTAATGGGTAGTTTCAAATGTAAAATTTAAGAGTGTCAAATCTATCATAAGCCATCCAAATGTGAACTTTAAAGTTTACATCCGTTCCATAACAAGAAGAAATGTCAACTCTTTTTTGAAGCTAATAAGTTATGTGGTATTTATTCTGATCAGGTTGCCAAATAGATTTCCCTAATTGGCTTTTAAACAAAGTCTGTCACTATGTGTACTCAGACAATAGATTTTCTTTGCTCAAGTAACGAGAGACATTCAGGGTATCAATCAAAGTGACTTTGTAAAGGAAAGTTAAGATGCCGCCACAAATGGAAAACCTTGTAAGGCATCATCAGTAAGGACACAACTATACTACTCAAAAGAAGATAAAGAACACACGATTCTTTCATTTTAATATTTAAGTTAATCTGTATTAGCTTGTGTTAAAGAACACCCGATTCTTTCATATGTTACTATGGTTAAGCTTTAATGGTGTGACATATGAAAGAATCATGTTCTTTAATTTCGTTTGAGAAGTATATTATGACATAAGAAGTGTGGCCCAATAAATACCTTGTTGCAGTCTGTGGTAGAGCAGCCCTTGAATTATCATGCATTTTCCTTGTGGTTTTACTGTAAGTTTTCTGTCCAAATGCATTGTCACACATGCTGTTAACATTCTCTCACTGCTGTGACTTAAACAGAATAGGACCCCAGTCCCCCGTGTAATAAGAAATGAGGATTGGTTGGCCCCAATGTGTGACCTTGTTGATGGTGTGTCGTCACTCCCAACAGTATGGGTTGTACTGTCAGCCATTGGTTTGGCTGTCCAGCCTGGATCATGTACATGGAGGCATGATAGCCTGAATAGTGCTGACTGTGCCATAAAACAACACTCAATCACCAACTCTTCCGCATCCAAAGAGATGGCAGTAAAGACTTGACATCGAAACCACAACATTACCATCTTGCTGAAAAGATACAATAACTGTCCACCAAACCATTAACAGCTCCAGAGATCCAAGTCTCAAAAAGACATATTGGTTGCCTGTCAATTTACAGTTTATTCAAATGGGATATCTGAGCTGCTCAACATTTAGAGAAGATTTGTTGCCGTTATGTTTCCATTGATCAGATGATGTTCTCTGCATGGAACAACCAAACAGTAGACAGGGAGATGAGGGGAGGGTATCTCCAGGTCTTCATGACATTTTGTACACAACTACAGTTGAGATAAGTCTTGACGAATTTAGCATCATGTCCTTTAAGAATAAGATATATATGGATTACAACCTCTGAGTGTATTCCAGAAAGGTAGACGGGTTATCAAGGGTTTGTTGAGCAATATATATGTTCGTCTCTGAAGCATGATGGGTCTAGTGTGTGGCAGAGTATCTTACTTGTGGCAGGAATATACCATCCCCTGGTCATGTTAGTGTTATACAGAATAAGGTCTATTGATATATGACCGCCTCCTTGGTCTAGTGGTAGAGAGTCAGCCCGGAGAGCGGAAGGTCCGGAGTTCGATCCCCGGCCGTGTTATACCGAAAGACGTTAAAAGATGATACTTGTTGTTACCCTGTCTGGTGCTCGGCATTAAGGGTGCTAAAACAAGGACTGGTCGGCTCGGAGTCAGTATACTGTGTCTGAGTGGGGTATTCATGTTAAACTGTGGCATGGTATCTCAGTGAGCTAGCACTATAAATCGGCATCGGTCCGGACTAATACAAACAGCCACACAAACACATACACGTACATGCAAATCGCTATATAAGTGCAATAATCTTGGACGCCATGTGAAACTCCATTTCACCTCACCTCATCTATTGATATATAGCATTAAGGATGCCAACAATTTTATGTAAAAAAGATATTTTTCACCTTTTTATTTTCTTAACCCAGGGATGGCTTTTGTTTGGGATGGGTGTTTTTTAGGGTGAATATAGTAATATTTGTCCATCATGTATCTTCATGTATGACAGACCCATGAAGATCCCGGGTAGAATAATTCTTCAGCAACCCAAGCCTGCTGTAAAAGGTGACTGTGCTTGTCGTAAGAGGTGACTCACAGGATCAGGTGGTCAGGTTCACTGACTTAGGTGATGCATGTCATCGATCTCAATTGCGTGGATCGATGCTCATGATGTAAATCACTGGATTGTCCGGTCCAGACTCGATTATTTACAGACCGCTGTCATATAGCTGGAATATTGCTGAGTGCAGCGTTAAACAACAAACAAACAAACAAACAAACAAACATAAAATCATGTATGACAATTGTGACCATATAGTAAGACTTAACACAGATGTGAAACATGGAACAGATCTGACAAAGTGCCATGTATCATAGTCTTACATACACTACAACTTGCCTGGAAATTTGCCTGTGAGTTTCAACACTGAAACTCTGCTACAGCCAACTCCACAGTTGTTCTCTATAAATACCAGATTCTTCATTATCAACTACCATAATCTGAATGCCACTCAAACAAGGCTTCATGGCTTACAACACTGATACTGCTTTTAAAGGCTTTAATTATATTTGATACAGCAACCTAGTTAAGTAGAATCTTAGCCTAAAATACATTTGATACTTTTCCAGTCTGTGTCTGTGTCTGTGTTTTATTGGCAGTGAGGTGGCAGAGTGGTTAAAGAGTTAACTTGTCACTTCGAAAATAGGTGACTCGGGTTAACAAAAAAAGGCTGGTTTACAAATCCATTTCTTCATCTAGCTCAGGTGTCATTGTATATGTTGAACTGTTTATGACTTGGAGAGTGTGTTCTGTCTTCTTGAACGGACTTGGGTAGTATTCTCCCTAGGGTGCTGAGAATGAAATCGGATAATGATATCCAGCATTGAAAGCTCAGTACATTTTTTATTATTCTTTTTATTGTTATAGATAGTAGTTAGTAGTAGTACTACTAGTAGCAGCAGCATAGTCAGCAGCATCATAAATAGAATTTTCCATTTTGTTGATCAGATTTTACTTTGATTTACTTGAATAAAGTCTGGTCTTTTGTCTGGTCCAGACCCAGGTCTGAAGTTGCAGCCGGATGAAGGGAGACATCCCTTGTAGGACAGAAAGGTGTTCAGGATAAAGGAAAGAATACACTTTCCATGATGAAATAGTCTGTTCTTGCCAATGTACAGTGCTTTATTGTCTCCTAAGTTGATTTGGTTCAAAATCCAGATCTTGGTTTCCATTTAATAACATCAGTACTGTGATTATGTGTAAAGCACAATGTGGCTCGGTCCCACACAAAGAGAGTGTCCCTGCTTCAGAATAATGTTTTTTTTGGAAACACATTGACAACGGTAGGATTAGTATATGAGGCGTTGGGTATGTTTCAAGTATTCTTGTCATTTCGTTGAACTGGTTGATAATTTGATTAGCAATTTCTGTGGGTTTTTTAAATTCAGAACCATTCCTGTTTTTACCAAAGATATTCATACTAGAATCTGCCTGTTGATTCATGGGCAGGTCTTTGGTGTTTAGTTTATGGTGATCCTCTGTGTTGTGACTGACTGACCTTGCTATCAACCACTGATTCCCTTGCTATCTACCACTGATTCCCTTGCTACCCACCACTGATTCCCTTGCTACCAACCACTGATTCCCTTGCTACCAACCACTGATTCCCTTGCTATGAAACCACTGATTCCCTTGCTACCAACCACTGATTCCCTTGCTACCAACCACTGATTCCCTTGCTATCAACCACTGATTCCCTTGCTACCCACCACTGATTCCCTTGCTACCCACCACTGATTCCCTTGCTATGAAACCACTGATTCCCTTGCTACCAACCACTGATTCCCTTGCTACCAACCACTGATTCCCTTGCTATCAACCACTGATTCCCTTGCTACCAACCACTGATTCCCTTGCTATGAAACCACTGATTCCCTTGCTACCAACCACTGATTCCCTTGCTACCCACCACTGATTCCCTTGCTATGAAACCACTGATTCCCTTGCTACCCACCACTGATTCCCTTGCTACCAACCACTGATTCCCTTGCTACCCACCACTGATTCCCTTGCTACCAACCACTGATTCCCTTGCTACCCACCACTGATTCCCTTGCTATGAAACCACTGATTCCCTTGCTATCTACCACTGATTCCCTTGCTACCAACCACTGATTCCCTTGCTACCAACCACTGATTCCCTTGCTACCAACCACTGATTCCCTTGCTACCCACCACTGATTCCCTTGCTACCAACCACTGATTCCCTTGCTACCAACCACTGATTCCCTTGCTACCAACCACTGATTCCCTTGCTACCCACCACTGATTCCCTTGCTATGAAACCACTGATTCCCTTGTTATCTACCACTGATTCCCTTGCTACCAACCACTGATTCCCTTGCTACCAACCACTGATTCCCTTGCTACCCACCACTGATTCCCTTGCTATGAAACCACTGATTCCCTTGCTATGAAACCACTGATTACCTTGCTACCCACCACTGATTCCCTTGCTACCAACCACTGATTCCCTTGCTATCTACCACTGATTCCCTTGCTACCAACCACTGATTCCCTTGCTA